TAATCAGGAAAGTAAATTATCTCTCTCTCGATGAGTCTCAGCTGTGTCCGCCGTGGCAGGTCTTGTTTGTTTACAAGAATCAGCTGATCGGTGCACTGCGGCGGCGGGGAGGGCTAGATCAGTAGCAACTCGGGGAGGTGTCATGGCATATGATTCTATTTTTGGAAAAGAAAACACATTGGGTTTATTTTGATGACGTCACAAAAGTTACGGATGCTTTGTGAATGTGGTCGATCATTTTGGTCTCCTCAATTTTCAAAAGGGATGGAAATTGATGAGTTTAATGGTTATATTTTCATTGAACAATCATCAAAACAGACGCCATGACATCTCCAATTGCTACTGATCTAGCCTTCCCCGAAACCGTTCACCCTGAGCGTTTGCAGATATGCTCAAGTGAACGCAGGGATTGTAACATGATCATGTGATTGCGAGACAACTAGACCTTGATGAGATGGCATGTCATTGTCTTGTCCCTGAAAAGGTCTTCCCGTCTTTGGCTTCGAGTGGGGAAATTAGCTTCATAATTGAATTTTGGAGCGAAACTGCGGAGGTTTTCAGTGGTGGATATATATCAGTTTGTCATGTTTTAATGTGAATGCGTGATACTGAGTGAATGTGTGACATCAACAGCGTTTGTATACTGAAGGAGTAAATTTTGTCCATTAGAAACCAACACCATATCAAAGGTAAAAACAAAAACTGACTCTCCTGCAGTAAATAATATCATGAATATATACAAACCTATTTGAAAACTAAAATTAAAAAAAAAAACAGTAAACGAATATCGGAGTACAGGGACCCAAATCATATAAAAAAACGATTCATTGGGATAAAAAAAGACCCAATAAGTTCTCTCTGTCGACCCCCAGGCGCATCCATCCCAGACCGCGATTTACCTTTCAGGAACACGCGGGTCTTCTGTTCTTCGGCGGGGGTCTTGCTGAGCACCTCGGAGGCCGTGGCGCGTATGATGGCCCAGTCTCGAGAGAGGTCCTCGACGGTGGTGTAGGTCGACGTCACCGTGAACCTTGAAGGCAATGAAGACGACGTTAGTATTTGGGGAAATAAAGGAAGGTAAGGAGAGAGGTAGATATGAGAATTTCACGGTATAGGGAGTAAGGTTAGTGGAAGAAAACAGCGTTGAAGATGTAGGTTAATGAAGAAAATTCGCGTTAAAGGGTGTCAGTATGAGACAACAAAGGAGTTAAAGAGACAAGTAAAAGGAAGAAAATAAGATGACGTTGGATCTTGCAAATACACAATAAATAGTTTTCTTGAAGTCCCTGAGTCATCTTGGAAAATGTAAAAAAAGGTAAAAAAAAAAATCACGTTAATGAGCATCCATTAACGCAATGACTTACCTTATGACGTACTTCCCCTTGAGACACGCTGGCACACAGTGAAGCTTCCCTGACGAGTTCATCTTTTTCAGCAGTTTCTCCGTGAGTTCATTCTCGCCCTTCAGCCGAAACACGACCATCCCCAGGTGTCGCGGCGTCGGGATTTCGAACCGCGGGTCACTCTTCACGAACACCTCGAACTTCTGCGCCATTCTCACGCCCTGGAGAAAAAAAGGGGTTGCTTCGACTGCCACGATGCTCGCTCAAAGGGGAAAAAAGTTTAATAGCTGGCTCGACTGTCAAACTGCCACGATCAAAGGGGTAGAATTTCGACACCAGGGTCATACGGTGGGCGTTCTATGATAAAAGGTAACTAGGGTTTGTAAGAACTGTTGAAATGTATGGCTTTGAAGATAAAAAAATGTCAAGTGGAATGTGGAAAACACGAAGCTCAGAATAATAATGATACGATATGTAAACGAAACAGGGAAGAACATAAAAAAAAAACATACGAATATAACGGACTTTTTTTTTTTTTTTTTTAGCTTCACTGCTCTTCCAAAGAGCACGGGTAAACAGCATGGCAAAGGGGACCCTCTGCATAAATGACCATTTTCCTACTCTTGTCTATCGCTTTGTACACCTTTCTCCCCCTGTTTCCGAATGGCTCACCTCTCTTATGTGTTTCTGGAGACCAGCGACACCGAAGCTCCTGATAACGAACCACAACTTGAGAGCTCGAAACCTTTTGCTCAGACCGATCTGCCAGTGCTGGAAGGTGAGAACAGCCGTCAGAAATGGTAACAGCTAAAACGATTAGTTATAGTCATGTACAGTTTCACTTTTTGGTGTGGAATTAATTAATGTCATCAAGTGTGGGGACGAAGCTATAATACGTCGGAGCAATACGTGATTATCTTCAAAATTTCTTTTTGTTTGTTGAAGAAATGTACTATCATACCTCTATAGGTAGGCCTACGTGTGGTTATTGATATTAATTGTAAGATTTCGTAAAATCATGAACATACATGAATATGTGTGTTTGTTCGTTAGTTTGCACGTATAATCACAAGCATACACAAGTGTGTGTGTGTGTGTGTGTGTGTGTGTGTGTGTGTGTGTGTGTGTGTGTGTGTGAGTGCGTGTAAGTGTGAGTGTGTGTGTGTGTTGTGTGTGTGTGTGTGTGTGTGTGTGTGTGTGTGTGTGTGTGTGTGTGTGTGTGTGTGTGTGTGCGTGTGCGTGTGCGTGTGCGTGTGCGTGTGCGTGTGCGTGTGCGTGTGCGTGTGCGTGTGTGTGCGCGGACGAGTACATATATGTATGAGTACGTGTACATATGTATGTCTATATGTTTATATACATACATAAGACCATAAGCTGTATATATATATATATATATATATATATATATATATATATATATATATATATATGTATATATATAGCAAGGAAAGAGAATTAGTGTGAGGGAAATCTCATGGATTTACTGCGTGAGTGAAACATAAGGACATTCTTCTCAGTGGGATTACGGGAGTTACTTAAGCCAGAAACACATAAAGCACAGTTAACAAAGCAGTTTCTGGCGCTGACTGAACCAGTGATAAGCTTGTATGTCTCCTGATCTCCTGGTTATTGTTTAAAGAATTTCAATGTTGTAACTTACCATATAGTCGATTGCAAGACCTAGACAGAAGGAAAAATATTTAATTATTGAATATAAGACATATCCCAGAAGGAAAAATATTTAATGATTGAATATAAGACATATCCTTTAACAATTGAAATTATAGAGTCAAGGTTTGGACAGAGAGAGGGAGAAAAAATATACAGAGAAAGCTAAAGGGTAATTACACAGATAGGAATAATAATTTTCTTTTATAATTATGCTTATCAACCTGTCATCAATCATTATCAAACGGTCAAATAATAAAAAAAAAATAGATAAATATACATAAGTGAATGGATAAATAGATATAAATACATAGATAAATACATATGAATAAATAGATAGATAAACATATCAATAAATAGATAAATATATCTCTATATCTCTATCTATCTATCTATATCTCAATCTATATATATCTCTCTATCTCTATCTATATATGAATAAATAGATAGATACATAAATAAACAAGCAAGTCATAAAATAAATCATGTAAGTATAAACAAATAACCGATAAATAAGAAAAGGATGAAATAGAACGAAAGAGAGAAGAGGAGGAAAAGAACAAAAAGGAGAACAAAAAAAAATGCCGAAATACAAGAAAATTTAAATAATATGAACAAGAACAGAGAGCGTAAGGAATCGACTTAGAAGAATATGAAGAAGAAAAGAAAAGAAAAGAAAAAATAGATATGAAAGAATGGAATAACATCAAAAGGCCAAGGAATATTAATCATAAGATAAAACACTAAAGTAAAAATAAAAAATAAATAAAAAACACGAATTAGAAAATTCGAGATTAATTCCCGCATTCCCCAAAACCGTTGCAAAGAACAAGAGAAGAACAGCAATAACAAAGAACAAAGGAAGAACAACAGTGATAACAAAGAACAAGAGAAGAAAAACAGCAGTGATAACAAAGAACAAAGGAAGAACAACAGTGATAACAAAGAACAAGAGAAGAACAACAACAGTGATAACAAAGAACAAGAGAACAACAACAGTGATAACAAAGAACAAGAGAAGAACAACAGCAATGATAACAAAGAACAAGAGAAGAACAACAGCAGTGATAACAAAGAACAAGAGAAGAACAACAGCAGTGATAACAAAGAACAAGAGAAGTACAACAGCAGTGATAACAAAGAACAAGAGAAGAACAACAGTGATAACAAAGAACAAGAGAAGAAAAACAGCAGTGATAACAAAGAACAAGAGAAGAACAAAAACAGTGATAACAAAGAACAAGAGAAGAACAAAAACAGTGATAACAAAGAACAAGAGAAGAACAACAGCAGTGATAACAAAGAACAAGAGAACAACAGTGATGACAAAGAACAAGAGAAGAACAACAGCAGTGATAACAAAGAAAAAGAGAAGAAAGAACGACAATAATAACAAAGAACAAAGGAAGAACAACAGCTATAACAAAGAGGAGAACAACAATGACAAAGAACAAGAATAGAAGTACAACAGTAATAACAAAGAGCAAGAGAAGAACAATAACAAAAACAAATGAAGAACAACAAATAGCAAAGAACAAGAGAACAGCAATAATAAAGAACACGAGAAAAATAACAATAGAAAAGAACAAGAAAAGAACAAAAACAAAGAACAAGAGAAGAAAGAACAGCAATAACAAAGAACACGAGAAGAAAATAAAGAACAAGAAAAGAACAAAAACAACAATAAAGAACAACAGCAATAACAAAGAACCAGAGAAGAACAACAATAACAAAGAACACGAGAAGACAGCAAAAGAACAAGAGAAGAAAGAACAGCACCAATAACAAGGAACAAGAGAAGAACATCAATGACAAAGAACACGAGAACAACAATAACCAAGAACACGCGAAGAAAGACGAAGAACAAAAGCAGCAATAACCAAGAACACGAGATCTAGAACACCACCAAAGTTAAATCTATTATTATTATCACATATATTTTGTATTTCTATCTGTTTATTTATTTACTTTTAAATCTATTATCATATATATTTCTTTGTTTATTCATTTATTTCTAAAATCTATTATTATCAAATATATTTCTTTGTTTATTTATTTATTTCTAAAATATATCATTAACACATATATTTCTTATCTTTATCTATTCATTTATCTTTTAAAAAATATATTATTATCATATACATTTCTTATTTTATATATTTATTATTTTTTTAATCTGTTATTATCATGTATACCAAAGAACATGATATTTACCTTTATCATGTATACCAAAGAACATGATATTTACCTGAGTTCTCGTGCTGGAGGTAAATCGGGTCGACGTTGAACGTGCGGTGGAGAGAACCACTGTTCTTCACCCTAAGGAGAACAAGAATAACTTACAGATGAACACACCCCGGCAACGCTCTCTCTCCCCGCCGGATGTACAATTGTCCGAATAAAACCTTTTTTAGATTTTCTCTTATTATTTCGAGTATATATTCAAGTCGGGGAAAACAAGAGGGTGTTACATAAAGGCGTTTTTTGCGTGTGAGAGAGACTGACTGGCACCTTGAGAGAGACTGACTGGCACCTTGAGAGAGACTGACTGGCACCTTGAGAGAGATTGACTGGCACCTTGAGAGAGACTGACTGGCACCTTGAGAGAGATTGACTGGCACCTTGAGAGAGACTGACTGGCACCTTGAGAGAGACTGACTGGCACCTTGAGAGAGACTGACTGGCACCTTGAGAGAGACTGACTGGCACCACTGACTGGCACTTCTGAACTCCTTTTTCTCTTCTCTCACTTGGGACGAAAGGGAAACGAGAGGGGCATTTTAAATTTTTTTTTTTTTTTTTTTTTTTTTTTTTTTTTTTTTTGCATGTTTCTTGTTTTTGTTTTTACTCGTGTTTTTTTTTCTATCTCGTTTGTTGTATCATAAGTTGCTTGGTTTGAGTTTGATGGTTTTTTTTTAGGGGGGGGGGGGAATTTATTATTATTATCATATATTTTTTGTATTTCTATCTGTTTATTTATTTACTTTTAAATCTATTGTTATCATATATATTTCTTTGTTTATTTATTTATTTCTAAAATCTATTATCATCAAATATATTTCTTTGTTTATTTATCTATTTATTGAAATCTATTATTATCACATATTTTTCTTATATTTATCTATTAATTTATCTTTAAAAAAATATATATTATTATCATATATATTTCTTATATTGTATATATATATATATATATATATATATATATATATATATATATATATATATATTTTAATCTGTTATTATCATGTATATTCTTTCATTCTTATGTTTATCTGCAAAGTGTAGAAAACGGGTGAGAAATGATTTAATGATGATGGTGGTGATAATGGTGATAGTGTTGATGATGTTGATGATGATGATGATGATGATGATGATGATGATGGTGGTGGTGATAATGGTGATAGTGATGAAATTATGGTGATTATGGTGAAATGATGGCATTGATGATCATCATTATTACTATCCTCAAAATTATTGTAATTATTACATTTGTTATCATTAGCATCATTATGATTATCATTATTATTGTTATTATTATCACTGTCATTATTATTATTATTATCATCATCATCATCATCATCATCATCATCATCATCATCATCATCATCATCATCATCATCATCATTATTATTATTGTTATCATTATTATTATTATCATTACTATTCTTATCATCATTACCTTTATTATCAACACAATCATCAAGATTTCTATCATAATCAGAAATATCAGTATCAATAAAGTGAATAACTACGACGATCTAATAATAACACCAAGTACAACAATGACCAAAATAAAACCACCCCCTCCTCCCCCCACCCCCACCCCTGAAAAATTTCCCCGCTAAAAAAAAAATAAATAAAAAAGAGGAAAAAAGACAAAAAAAAGCACCAAAAAATGAATAAATAAAATAAAAAAATCCCTTCCTCCTCCTTCCCTCCCCCGAAAAAAAAGAAAAAAAAGAAAAAAAAGAAAAAGAAAAAAACAGCACACAAAAATAAATAAATAAATAAAAATATCCCTTCCTCCCTCCTACCTACTCCCCCCTCCCTCCTCCCCCCCCAAAAAAAACGAAAAATCACCCCCCCCAAAAAAAAAAAAAAATAAAGAAGAAAACCAGCAACATAATCCCACCCCCTACCCAACCCTCCCCTCCCAACCCCTCCCACCCCCTTCGCCTCTCCCACCCGCATCCACCCGCATCCACCCATCCAACCGTACCACATAGCCGTGCAGTCGAAGTGGACCATCATCCACTTGGACGGGTTGAAGGCGATGGAATGGGCGTACTCGATGCCGTCCATAAAATGCCGGAATTCGGGGCAGATGAAGGCGCTCCCTGCATAGGCGGCGTCCACGTGCATCCACAGCTCCTCTTGTTCGCCTGTTCGTGGGGGGAGAGAGGGGAGAGAGCGTGAGAGATGGGGGGGAGGAGGGGGGGAGGAGGGAGATATGGGGGGGAAGGGGGAATGGGGGAGGAGAGATAGGGGAGAGAGCGTGAGAGATGGGGGAGGAGAAGGGGGGGGAAGGGGGGGGAGGAAGGGGAGAGCGTGAGAGATAAGGGGAGGAAGGGGGAGAGCGTGAGAGATGGGGGGGAAGGGGAAGGGGGAGGGGGAAGGGGAGAGGGGAGAGCGTGAGAGATGGGGGGGAAGGAAAGGGGGAAGGGGGAGGAGGGGAGAGGGGGGGAGGAGGGGAGAGGGGAGAGCGTGAGAGATGGGGGAGGAGGGGGAAGGGGAGGAGAGGGGAGAGAGCGTGAGAGATGGGGGGGGAGAGGGGAGGAGGGGGAGAGCGTGAGGGATGGGGGGGAGGAGGGGAAGGGGGAGGAGGGGGGAGGGGAGAGATAGGGGGGAGGAGGGGGAAGGAGGAGGAGGGGAGAGCGTGAGAGAAAGGGGAAGGAGGGGAAGGCGGGGGGAGGGGGAGAGGGGAGAGCGTGAGAGAGGGAAGGGGGAAGGAAGGAGAGGGAAGGGGAGAGAGGGGAGAGAGCGTGAGAGATGGGGGGGGGAGGGGAAAAGGGGGAGGGGGAGAAGAGGAGGAGGGAGGAGGGGGGAGAGGGGAGAGGGAGAGCGTGAGGGATAGGGGGAGGAGGGGGAAAGGGGAGAGATAGGGGGGAGGAGGGGGGTGGGGGAGAGAGGGGGAGGAGGGGAGGGAGGGGGGAGAGGGGGGGGAAGGGGAGAGAGATAGGGGAGGAGGGGGAAGGGGAGGGGGGAGAGAGCGTGAGAGATGGGAGGGGAAGGGGGAGAGATAGGGGGGAGGAGGGGGAAGGGGGAAGGGGAGAGATAGGGGGGGGAGAGAGGGAGAGCGTGAGAGATAGGGGAGGAGGGTGGGAAGGGGGGAAGGGGTGGAGAGCGTGAGAGAATGGGGGGGGGGGAGAAGGGGGATGGGAGGAAGGGGAAATGGAGAGGGAGAGCGTGAGAGATGGGGGGAAAGAGGGGGGGAGATAGGGGGAGGAAGGGGGAAGGGGAGGATGGGGTAGTGGATGGGGGGGGAGAGCTTGAGAGATGGGGGGGAAGGGGGAGAGGCGTGAGAGATGGGGGGGGAGGAGGGAGGAGGGGGAGAGCGTGAAGAGAGGGAAGGAGGGGAAAGGGGCAGGAGGGGAGAGGGAGAGATGGGGGACGTGTTGAAGATGGGAGAGAGCGCGAGGGAGGGGGGGGTAGAGGGAGAGGGGGAGAGCGTGGAGATGGGGGGAAGGGGGAGGGGGGAGGAGTGGGGAAGGGGAGAGCGTGAGAGAATAGGGGGTGGGAGGGGAGGGGAGGGAGGGTGGAGAATTAGTGAGAAAAAAGAGAGAGGCAGAAACAAAACACGCGGAGAGATGAGAGAGAGAGAGAGAGAGAGAGAGAGAGAAGAGAGAGAGAGAGAGAGGAAGAGAGAGAGAAGAAAGAGAGAGAGAGAGAGAGAGAGATGGGGGTAGGTGAGAGCGTAAGAGATGGGTAGGGGGGAGGGGTGGTGGATAGTGAGGGGGAGGAGAGGGGGGGTGAGGGGAGGAAGGGGGGAATGGAAGGGGTGGTGGTGGAGGAAAGAGGTGAGGGGAGAAGGGGATGAGGTGAGGAGGAGGGTGCTGAGGGGAGGGGAGGGGAATGGGTGATGGTGGAGGAAAGCGGAAGGGGGTGAGGTGAGGGGAGGTTGGTGGTGGAGGCAACCGGTGAGGGGAGGGGAAGGGGTTGTAGTGGAAGTGGGTGGTTTAGAGAGGGGAGAAGAGAGGTTGGTGGTGGAGGAAGGGGAAAGACGTGAAGGGAGGCGAGAGGGGAGAAAGTGAGAGACGTGAGGGGAGGTTGGTAGTGAAGCGGGGAGAGAGAGGGGAGAGGGGGGAGGAGGTTGGAAAACTGGGAAAGGTAAACTTACGAGGGGAGATAAGTAGTGAAGAGGGGAGCAGGGGAGAAGAGGGAAAATTGGGAGAGAGAGAGAGAATGAGAGGAGGTAAGGAGTGGAAAGAGAGAGAGGAGGTGGAGAACTAGGAGAGAGAGGATGTGAAGAGAGACACGGAGAGGTATGGTAAAAGGAGACAGGCAGAGAGAGGAATAAAGGAGAGACGAGAGAGGCAAGTGAAATAAGGAAGGAGGGGAGGAGGAGAGAGACGAGGGAGACGAGAGAAAGGAGGAGAGACGGAGAATGGAGGGAGGAGGAAAGGCAATATTCAGACAAACAGGTTCATGCACAAACACACACTTACATACTTTCATGTATACATACTATACGTACATACATATGTGTGTGTGTGTGTCTATCTATCTATATATGTATGTATGTATGTATGTATGTATGTATGTATGTATGTATGTATGTATGTGTGTGTGTGTGTGTGTGTTGTGTAGTGTGTGTGTGTGTGTGTGTGTGTGTGTGTGTGTGTGTGTGGTGTGGTGTGTGTGTGGTGTGTAATGTATGTGTGTGTGTGTGTGTGTGTGTGTGTGTGTGTGTGTGTGTGTGTGTGTGTGTGTGTGTGTGTGTGTGTGTGTGTGTGTGTATGTATGTATGTATGTATGTAAGTATGCTATGTATGTAATGTGTATGTATGTAATGTTGGTATGGTATGTATGTATGTATGTATCATGTATGTATGTATGTATTGTGATGTATGTATGTATGTATGTATGTATGTATGTATGTATGTATGTATGTGTGTGTATGTATGCTATAAGTACTGTGTAGGGTAATATTAGTATTAAAAAGATAAACAGAGACATGGACAAAGAAAGAAAGAGAGAACAAAAAAAAATCACACAAAGACCGAGACAAAGAGACAGCTAAAAACGACAGAGACAGACAAAGAAGAAATACTACTAATAATAAGAGGAAGAAGAATGAATAATAACAATAAATACCAATAAATAAATAAGTGAGCAATTCACACACACACTTACACCACGAACAACTTAACACGAATGAATAATAATCATAATAACAATAAATAAATAAGTGAGTAATTCACACCGACACCTACACCACGAAGAACTTAACACGAATGAATAATAATCATAATAACAATAAATAAATAAGTGAGCAATTCACACACACACTTACACCACGAAGAACTTAACACTTAACACTTACAAATTGGTCCAAGTTCCCGTAAGTTATCGAAGCAGCAGGAACCTGTCGTACCTAAAGTGGCGCACAACTGGAAATGAAAACACGAAAGAGAAAATAATAATGATCATAGGTTCTGCCAATGCTATGAACATTACATCATTACCCGTATATTACATTATATATATCGTCGGGTGATTTTATCCAATGTCTATGTGGTGTTTGATTGAGAGAGAGAGAGAGAATGAGAGAGAGAGAGAGAATGAGAGAGAAGAGAGAGTAATGAGGAGAGAGAGAATGAGAGATGAGAGTAGTATGAAGAGAAGGAGAAAGGAGAGAGAGAGAGAGAGAGAGAGAGAGAGAGAGAGAGAAAGAGGAGAGAGAGAGAAGAGATGAG